GCGAGATTGTGACCTGAGCCGAAGTCGGCCGCTTAACCGACTGAGCCACCCAGGCGCCCCAACAAAATAAATAAACTTTTTAAGAAGTATACACTAGTGTTAAGTGTACCTGGTCTCATCTTCACTTGAGGGCTCTGAGCTTGTGGACTGACTGGGTCTGGGGATCCGATGAGGGGCTATGAGTTTCCATTGTGGTGACTTGAGGCAGACCTAGAGCCTTTGTTGTTGGGGTTCTACACACCATGGAGTACTATAGGTGGCCTATTAACAGGACATCATGACCAATTAGCCACCACCAAAGATCCTTGGGGAGAAACCATCCTGTTCTATGAGATTTAGTGCCACTACTTGGCCTCTGCTGCTCCAGGATCCCATAATTCCCACTGAGAGTGCAACCCTGTTTCCATGGCAACACCACTCCCCTCCTTTCCTAGACTAATTTTCCAGAACCTTCACCAAAGTATGTCTCAGTGTTTTGGTAAAAAGAAGGTCCCTTGAGCTCTCTTAGGGGATGTAGTTAAGGGCTGAGCCAGTAAGTTGCACACAACAGGTTCATTCCAACATTCTCACCCACCTGAGTCTTGGGATTGGAGACAACGAGGGACGTGAGGAGCTAGGGCACAAGGAGAACTGGCATCCTCTTGCTCAGTAACTGACCTGGTGACTTCATTCCAGGATCCCCAGGAAAGGCAGGATCGGCCTCATCAGACAGGGGAGGGGGGCTGCTTCTGCTGGTAAGGGCAGGTCCATGGGGTTTCTGAGTTCAGAAGACACAGATTCATTAAACAAAACTACTTACTGAGCATCTTCCAGGAGCTGGATATATAGCAGTGAACAAATAGACAAAATTTTCCTGGCTTCATAAGGCTAGTGAAGAGAGACAATGAACAAGTTTCATTTAAGGCAGAGGGGAGAGCAGGTGCAGAAGACCCGAGGAGGGGGAATGTGCCTGGAGTAGTCCCGAATAGTCAAGAGGCAGTGTGCCAGGAGTGGGGTGAGTAAGGGCAGGAGGGGACAGAGCTGGACACAGGAAGAGAAGGGCAGTGGCTGTCACAGACACTTTAGCTCTTACTCTTAGTGAGATGCTGCATTGGTTTCCTGGGGCTGCCTAACAAAGGACCCCTAACTGGGCAGCTTTAACTAACATAAACTCATTCTTTTCCAGATCTCGAGGCTTGAAGTACGAAATCACTACAGTCTCTGCCTCCATCTTCACATGGTTTCTTCCCTTCTAAGGACACTTGCCACTGGATGTGGGGCCCACCTGGTAATCCAGGGTGATCTCATCTTGAGATCCTTAACTTAATTACATGTACAAAGACCCTTTTTCCAAATAAGGTCACATTCACAGGGTCCAGGGGTCAGAACAAATCTTTTGGGGGGCCACTTCATCCACTACAGATGGGAAGTCATTGAGGGGTTTGAGCAGAGGAGAGACATTCCCTGACTTCCAGTTTAATGGCTCTTGCCAGGTGCCACATTGAGAAGACAGTATAGTTGGAGACAGTAGAAGCAGAGGGCCCTGCAGGAGGCCATTGGAAAAATACAGGAGAACCATACAGATGGCATGGACTACGGTGACAGCACTGAAGGTGGTAAAAAACCATCAGACTCTGGATCTCCTTTGGAACCAAAGCTGAGAGACTAACAGACTGGATGAAGACTGTTGGAGAAAGATGAAGCCTACATTTACTCGGCAAAATATTTACCAATGAAGCATTATAGAATAGTGGGAGAAGTAATGAACTATTCATGGATTGATTGATACTGGGGACTTTGGTTATCTATAAAAAGTCAATTTAGATCATTATTATTATTATTACTGGGGCACACACCTAAATAAATTCCATGTAGTATAAAAAGTTAGGTGAGGAAAAACAAATCTATTTTTTAAGGCACCGTAAAATACAAGTGAAAAATTTCTGATTAAAAAATTTTTTTCGGGGCTCCTGGGTGGCTCAGTCAGTTAAGCGCCTGAATTCGGCTCAGGTCATGGTCTCACAGTTTGTGTGTTTGAGCCCTGTGTTGGGCTCTGTGCTGATGGCTCACAGCCTGGAGCCTGCTTCGAATTCTGGGTCTCCTCCTCTCTCTGCCCCTCCCATGCTCATGCTCATGCTGTCTCTCAATAATAAATAGGTGTTAAAAATTTTTTTAAAATTTAACATCTATTCATTTTTCAGAGACAGAATGCAAGTAGGGCTGGGGCAGAGAGAGAGAGAGAGAGAGAGAGAGAG